GTTGGTGGGTCGTTTGCTTGCTGGATTCAAACGTCAGCCTGTCTGTGTGTGATTTGGGTTACATTAGAAAATCCAGGAGCTGGAAGCCACGCTGTATAATGCCCTGCAGCAGGATCCAGGAAGGCGGGCGAGCGAGTCTCTGACAGAAGCCCAGAGGGAGGATTTGCGAGCTGCAGTGGAGAAGGTGCGGCGGCAGATCCTGAGGCAGAGCCGTGAGTTTGACAGCCAGATCTTGCACGAGCGAATGGAGCTGCTGCAGCAGGCACAGCAGGTAATCCCGGTTCTCTCTCCTCCCTGTCGTCGGTGTTATCTCTGTGGTTGCCGCCACTGCCCATAAACAGCATCGCTTCACCCTCACCTCGTGGAGTTCTGTTTAGTCTATCCTCTGTACAGCTCCCGTGCCAAGGAGCGATGTGGTGTTAGGACCTGGTTGCGCTGGGCATGGTGCACACACAAAACAAGTCACTGTCTCACCACGAGGTCCTGTTGCACAGCCTGTTTCATGTGTGTACAACCACACAGTCTTCCACAGGACTCTGAGGGGAGCGTGTTGCAAGTTTAAGGCCCAAATTAGAAAAAGCCATAATGGAGGGTTGCAAGAGTATAACGCTATGAAAAGAGGAAAGGCAGAAGCAGCAGTTACAGCAATCCAAGTTTTTAATTTTTTTCCCCTTTTCAGTTATTTTATCTATTTGTGAAATTTTTTAAATAAATAAAAAAGAGAAAGTCATAGGAAGCCTTTTAAGAGGCCATTTACAAGCTTTTGCACCCTTATGTTAGTTTAGAAAAGCCTTGTCTGTCCAAACTACTTCATTAAGGACAAGTATTGACAACTTGAATTTGGCAAGCTCCTGGCCTATAGAAGTGTGGTAATTACTTACTGTTGGTAGAATTGGTAGTTTTTCTGTGCAAATATTCAGGGGCAGAAGAGAGCTGCATGTCTCAAGGTGTTAATTACTACAGCAGAAATAATTGTTCCTGAGGATTTTTGTTCCTCACTGTAGTAACCTCTGAAAGTTGCATGCAGATATCTTAAATTTTGAGGACTGCTCTCCAGTTGTGCTGCTACTTTTTGTGCAAATCTGGAATCGTATATTGTAAATGCTAAAATGTGCTATGCAGATGTGTCCAGAACACTGTTGCTATTTCAGGCGCTGGGGTAAGAACTGCTTTTAGTTTAGTTCAAGCCCCTCTCTTTTCAGGTTGGCTTTGTAGATGAATATAGATGAAAGTGATGTAATGTGACCCAGCACTGCTGTGATCATCTCCTGTCATCCTGCAATGATGAGAAGTGCTTATAGTGTCAGTGTTAGATCTGAGCTCTAACTTCCTAGAAGTTTCCTTTCTCTTACTCCTTGATGAATGTGTAACACTGAGACCAAGAGATGAACTTATTTAATGGGTATCATGTATTTTCAGTCATCAGTGATGGTGTACAGAAAGTTGGAGAAGGTAGGTACCAGGTGGCACTAGAAGCGTCAGAAAAAGAGAGCAAACTTGTTAAATTTGGTAAATGAGAATGGAGCCAGAAGTTATTAGTTTAATGTTATTAGTGTAGCTGAAAATTAGTGAGACTAGAGGTTTTTGGCAGTCTCTTAGCCAGTACAATTTCCTAGCCAGACTGCTGGTATTTTATTCAGAACAATAACACAGTGCTTTTCAGTTGGGTAAACATTATTTGCAAATGACATTTAATGGGTGTGAATGACATTGTGTCTTGAGGATGCCTCCACACCTAAATAATATACAGTTTCAGATTTTAACATCAGACTAGATACAGTTTGGTCTTTGCTTTCACTAGGCATGTAGTTTGACACTGAAGGATTGCTATTGGCTAGGGCCTTTCTGTCGTCTGCTGCTGGAGTGTATTTTTGGGGAACCTAGGCAGAGCTTCCAAGTTAAGCTTGTATAATATTGGCAAATAGAAAGGAAAAAGTAGGACTAAATTTGTAGAGTGAAACAGTTGTTCCTGAGAACTCAAAATCCATACTATGTGCATATCTAGAGTGTAACTTGGACTCAGTTCCAATTTGTTCCGTGGCCTGCTCACTATCAATTGGAGCATTTAGTGTGCACATCTGGAGCACATCTTCTGTTTGAGTCCAGTTCATGTATTCATAGATGGCTTCACAACATAAAGGTAAATATCATGAGCATAGAAGAAAACAAAAACGCTAGCATAACCATGGATGTTTATGTACCTGCCTTCAGATCTATTTTATAGTGTGCCATTGGAGTTTCATGTTGTGCCCATCTCATTAGACATGCTAATGTTACAGCCCTGCCAGGCACATTGAACTGAATTCTACTACTTACTAAGGAGCTAAGTATTTCAGTAATCTATTTTTAACACACACATCCCCTATTAAACAGGAAAAAGAAAGGCAAAGATGCTAGTTAATTTGCCTGGATTATGGGAGGGCTAATTCTCACAGCATTACTTTCATCTACACTAGCAAATGACAGAAGCTGCATGTATTTCACAAATGAAACTATACTTGTGCTGGCAGAATCCTCATGAATGGATGAAGCTACATGAAGGATAGTACATCCCTGATGCTTTGTTGAATGAATCCACTCCTTTCCTCATGTATTTATGGCCATGAGAAGTTTTCCTGACATTGTGACATCAGCAAACACCCATCACACTTTATACTTCAAAACTATAGCCTAGATCTGGTCGTATTTTACACTCTGCAGTGGCTTTACAGTACACACCATACCTCTTGCTCTGCAGAAGATGAGGCTACAGAGAATTATAGGACAGCATGATGGACCTGCAAAGCTTAATAAAGAACCTTCTTGTTGTAAATACTCTCAAACTTTCCCTGAAATAGAAATCATGTATTAAAGACTCCAAATTCTCTGAAACTTTGGAAGTTCGACCACTTCCAGAAGGTCTTTTTCTTTGCTTCCATTACCTTCTGGTCTGTCTGATAGAAGGGCTCCAAAGGAACAACTGTTTATCCTGGTAGGCTGGCAAAAACCTTCTCTGAGTCAGAGTTTCTGTGTCAGACATGGAGTGGGGGTTCAAGAAATTCTGATGATGGAGAAGGAGGAATTTCCACCTTCTGCCTGTAAATGATCCTTGACTGTACTTGCAGAGTGCAGAAATGGTAAGGCACGTGATGAATGCTGCAGGTTGGTCTGCAGGGTTTATTAATAATTAATTGCTTCATGCAGGGACTTTGAGGATTTAGCGTGTGAGATGCTGGTTTTACAGAGCTGGCAAATGTACTTCCTGGGGAATGTGTCATCTGAAAGGGGCAGGGAAGCGCATAAGAAAATGGGTAAACAGTTGCCCAAGTGTGAGCCTGTGCTGCTTTATGGGAGCTTGGAAAGCCTGAGTTCTTACCCACTTGGTATTGACTTTGTTCCAGTGAAATAAATATATTTTAGGATATAAGGCTCTGTATTGCATTGGTAGGTCTGTTTATCTTGGGTGTGTGTATGGCCCCCCATTATTATTGTTCATTAGTATATAAATGGAACCATTTATGTATACCCATGGTGGATTAAGGAAACCAGGCCTCTGTGGAGCCAAATTAGGCAGACTGTGTGACTAGATCTGCTTGCTAAGGCACAAAATGCTTTTATGAAACCCAGAGTGCAGCTTGCAGGTCTGAGGGACAGATCCTCAGCTGAAGCATATTGGCAGTACTCCCTAAGTCAGAGAAGGTGTTTTGTTTTACAGCATCTATTTGGAGGAGGTAATATATGTTAATTAAAAATCTGTCATGAGCAGCTTGTGATATTTGCTTCTAGCAATAGGGTATGTGCAGTTCAACCACCATTCCTGTGTATATTGCCATCTAAAATGTCTCACTGTTCTACATTGTTATAAGCTTTTATAAATCAATGTCTGGTTTATTTTTAGCAGGACTTCATTTAAAAGTAACACTTATGCTCTATTCAGTGCAGTGGCCTGACTTTTGTGCTTTTGGAAAATATGAAGGTCATTATTAGCAGGTTCTGCTAAGAAGGGTAATTTTTTATGTATATATAGGATGCTAAGTAATTTCTAGAGGGAGAGAAAAAATCCATTTCTGAGAGAAGATATTTTAAAGGGAGCAATACAACATGTTTCTGAAGCAGTGATATCAACTTCCTAATGAAGTAAACTCAAATATAAAAAACAAACAAACAAACAAACAAACAGCCCCAAAAAACCTAGCACAAAAAATCCACACAGCATAATGGTTAGTACACCTTAAAATTATATTGCAATTATCTGCTGAAACTAGTAAATATTTAAAGGTCAAATTATGCTTTACGTAAAACAAATAAAGTAAAAACCTAAATATATTCCTGTTAGTTTTACTGTAGCTGCTTCTGGAGTATGAAACTGTCAAAAGTCATCAGAAGCAGGCTTTAAATTACGATAGATTAATTCAAATTGCGCTGTTGGCAGTATTCAAACATGAAGAAAATTTATAAGAGAAATATAATTTATTCTGATTTCGTCTGAAGTTATCTTAAATGCAAAGAGAAGCTAGAAAATCCTTGAAGAACAGCAGACTGACACACACTCAGTTCCAAAAATGGTTGCTGCCAGTCAGAAAGGATATGAGAGATAGATTTTATTAATATAATCCAGTAATTCCCCACAGTAGTCTTATCTTTGTATAAAATTGTAAAAAAAAAAAAAGATATATTAGTTCATTGTGTCTTCAGAAAGTGTGAAACTTTTTTCTCTGAGTTGCACCGTAGTGCTGTACTAAGATGAGGGTGTTTTATTCTAGCTTGAGTTAGAATATTCTTGGATGAAACTCACTTTTACAAACTAAAAAACCCAATTGCTTCAGTTCCAGACCTGAATATAAGATTTTGGACTGATGAAGTCAACAAAATTCCAACTTTAAATGGGTGGAATATAGCTGTAAATATTTTAGCTATGGTTTCTTTAAACTAGATCATTTACTCCCATGACCAGATTATTCATCAGTAGTAAAAGCAGAAACTACCACTTTATTTGCATGTTTTACTAGAAGAAGGCATACCTTTAGGAGACAACAGGTTTAAATCAGAACTGACCTCTCTGTGTCACTGCCATGGAGAAGGATTCACTGCAGATATGATTCCTCAGGCACTGCTTTCATGGACACCAAGGAAAAGTCAGAAGTAGCAGTGTCTTTTTTCATCCTGAAATGTCAAAATATAGCTTGAAATTGAGAAACAACAAACTAATTTACTACATCAAGTTTCTTAGTTAATTTTTTTCTGACCTGAAAAGTGAAGTTCTGACTTCTTAAAAATCAAACAAAACTGTAGCCCATGGCATTTCTCCATGAATTCTTCTGTTGTCTCATAGGTAGGACAACTTTTTCACACTGAGAGAGTAGCTTGTTTATATATCCATAGGGTTGGATGTCACCATATCTATAAAATCATATTGGCTCAGCCATTTAGAATACATATTTGGTGGGTTTGGTTGGTTTTTTTTTTAAATCTTCATTTAAAAAAGAATTGTTAATAGGGTAATTGCCAGAGTGAAGTAGGAACCTGAGATTTGCCACTTGATATACTACAGATATTCAGGCAAAGCTTGGATAAATCCAGCAGTTGTTCTGCTCCCCTTTGCTGTGTAATTTGTTATGGTTGATAGACCATCTATTTTTTACCCAAGGAGAGTTATTAAGGTTTAATGTTTGACTGGGAAGGCACTTGAGGGAGGGAGAGAGCAAGGGAGGATGCTCTGCTCAGTGTACCTCATTAATAGGCATGAGGAGGAGTTGTCTTAAATTTGTCCTGTTTGGCACAATGCTTTGTGACAGAGAGAACAAATTAAAGACGACCACTTCTCTGGCAAGTTGCCTTGATCAAAACCCCACAGCTGTGTCACACAGTTTAGAAAGCAGGTAGAAGTATTACTAGTAAGCTTACTTACATAATAATAATTGGGGAGTCTCAGATCATTTTATCTCCAAATCTACATAGATTCAATGGTGTAATGTTTTTATTTTAAATCTGAAGTGTTAAAGTTCTAGAAGTTAATTCCCAGCTATTTGTGTGCAACTATATGTGAAGAGGACCACGTAGGGCAACCACTGATTTTTATTTCTTTTTTTTTTGCAGTTACTAGTGCTTGCTTAGTATTAATGGTCTGTGCTTTGTTGTTCAAAATTTAATAGATTACTGTTGAGAATGCATTTTTTATATTCATGAATTGCTCTTAAAGGCATCTGATATCACAGCTGTATAACTGTCATCAATATTCATCAAGCACATCATGACTGGGCTAATCATAGTCGACCTGTGGTATTGATTTGTCATGCAGGAGTGAACACTGAGTCTTTCAGGGCATCATTGCTGCTATAATGACAATGTCACAATAAACTGTAATTTCTCACAGATCTGCATGGCAGATGAGAGTTAACTTTAATAGTTGCTCTACGTGTATCTTACAGTGTTTCCTTTCTGTATATCTTCAACCGTATCTGCTTTTCTAACTGCCTTAGTGCTGCTACTTGTCTAAATAAGTGATGATAGCAGGACTGGTGTGATACCTACAAAGTATATCTGAAAGGTCTGCTCCCTTTGTCCTAAAAAAGTGTGATTGAGGGTTTTTTGTTTTTTTTTTTTGTTTTTTTTTTTCTGTCTGATAATCTGCCTAGGCGGTCATGAAGTCAGTTTTAAGATGTTGAATGTATTTTGTCTTCTGAGTTTACACAGACTTAGCATAGCTATTCTGTGTAGATATAAGTCTAGTATGTCTTAAATTATTGTTTTTCCCCAATGAAAACAATAGGACTGCTGATATTCCTCTTTTAGATATCAATGTATGTTGTAACATAAATTAAAAGACTCTTTGTGTTAAAAAAAAGAATTGAGTTTACTAGTAAATATTACATTTTGGTACCAGATTATAACAGATAGTTATTTTGGTCTAAATGTATTTATAAAATTCAGTAACTTACTATCAAGATCAATGTGATTGAATATATATGCTGAGAAATGCAGTGCATGGGTGCAGCTGCTAAAAGGTTCATTCTCCTCAGGAAGGCAAATAAAGAAGCTACAAATGCATAATAAAGATTAACAAGAACAATTCTTCTACGTCAGTAACTATTAATTGGATTATTATGGCTGAGATTACAGAACATAGAAAAGAATAAAATTTTTACCTGCTGTGTAAAGGAAATCTTGGTGAGGATCAGAGAGATACAGTACATCCAAAATAATCTCTTATTATCGTATTCAACTGGCTAAAATTTACATTAGGTTTTCATTCATAAAGTAAAACAAGATGGCAACAAACATAACTTAAGATAATTCTGTTACAGTGGGCTTTTTTGTTTCCTTATGACCACTATGCAAAATCACATTTTAGGAACAGAGAACTAAAGGGAGCATTTGGATTCCCGAATCCAAACCCCTTACAGTAGCAGATTCAACAGCTTAAGTAAATTCATGTGACAATTTCCTATGCAAATTGAATTGTTAAAACAGTACAGGCTTTTAAACATCTGTTAAAATACATTAGATTTAAAAACGCCCAAGAAATATTTTCATTAAGGAATTCTATCCATCACTTTAGTGATTTGAATAATAGCTAAAGGCAAGTCAGTTTATATTCATCTTTGTTTAAATTCATACATGTAACATAGTTATACTGTTCACATTATTAAAGATCTTACATACCTGTGTCTTAATAGTGATGAGAATCTGCTTAAAATAATGATATAATGAAAAATTACTGATTCTTCCCCTTGTCAAATTGATAAAATATTTCCCATGCTAAATTTTGCCGCAGAATGAGATATGTTCTTGATCATAAGATGGCTTCAGAGAGTCAAAACCTGGTTCATGTCAGATACAGTCCACCAATGGTGCCTATGCTGTGAACGTACATTAACCTGAACCTTTGCAACATTTCAGAGCCGAGGCTTTAAGCAGCTTAGCAAATCCTTCTTGGTCTGCTTTGTGCTAAAATTATCAAATTGTTTTCTTGGATTTGCTGGTGAATGTAAATCCAATAAGAGTGTGTCACAGGAACTGTTAAGGTAATTTCTAAACCCCCTGTTTAGTACATTCCCGTGTTTTCACAAGTACAGTAGCATGGCAAAGAGCATATTTTGCAGGTAGGTAAATTGATCTTGATATTGCTGTGTGTAAAACATTTGTACAGATGGGCTCTTTACTTACACACTTATCTGGGAAACAAGAACATCAGTTCCGCAGTTTGACACCTACGTGAAGGATCATGTGGTCATGTCACACAAATTTCTTTCCTGATAGATTTTGCCCCATTTGACAAAGCTCCTTGAGGATTTGAAGCCATCCAAGATGTTGGTTCAGGACTGTGAATGGCTGACTAGTACTGTGGGTGAATTGGAGAGAACAAAAGGCTTGGATGAAGAAGTCTACTTCATCTAGCTTGCATCACTGTCCAGTAAATGGAAAACAGAAATTCCTAGAGTCTGTATTTGCTACTAAAAAAAATTATCTGAGCTGGCAGATCAGGTCAAAGAAAACCCAGAATGTGCATGAGGCACCATATAATTGTAGAGTGACACAGTCCCTTTCTCATCCGAATTTGTGGTAGCATGGAAGATAAGCTTAACCAAATGAGGAAATGTGCACATTTGGTTGCCTGATGGAGGAAATCTGCACCTAGCATTTTAAAGTAATGAGGCACTTCAGTACATCTCAGATCAATTTTTTTCCTTCGTAATGCTGAAGTTCCTCCCATGTCTGACTCTCAAAATGATGACAAATCATTGCTGGGCTGATATATTGCCTCCAGCATAAAAATGATAGCCCTGAGACTGCAACCCAGGGCTCACTGAGCTCAGCAGAAGGAATTCCATTAATTCCAGTGCACTATATTAATGGCAATGGTATTTAATGTAGATAGATTGCTATTATAACACAAGCTGGGCACACATACTTCATGTATTTTATGTTGGAATGCCGTTAACCTTTTCTTTTTTTTCAATAGAGCAATATTTTCATTTTGGCTAAACAGCAAGCTGAGTGTTCTAAGCCTGCGTTATTGGAATATTTCTGTTAGTGAAAGTAGATTAATATTTCCAAGCACACATCCACCATCATGCTGCTTACATTTCACCTAAACTTTGATTCCTCAGATCTCCCAGACATGTGGCTTGCAACCTTGAGGTTGCAGTATAGCCACAGGAGGCAAACCATGCAAAAATTATTGAAATTTCCCTTTTGAAATCAGTACCTGTCTGATTCTCCTCTGGCAATGTATTAATATGATTTCATTGAACTCTTTGCCTTCAATTCAGTTTTAAATACTGAATTTTTCCTTTTTATTTGCACCTTGTACAAGGGAGTAATGAAAATAATGAATCTGCATCTAAGGTTATCTAGCCTTTTGCTGAGTTTGGATGCATTTGGAAAACAAAAATCTATACGGAAATTTTCCAGCTATGGGGAAAATGGACCTGTAGGTGAAGAGACACCTGAATTGGTCCTACCGAAGCCAGTTCAGGTACCATACTTCATGCAAACCTAAAGACTCACACTCTTTAGGAAGGTCAGAACAGCTGGGAGTAGGAATTTTTAGTCCCATCTTGGTGTGTCAGCCCTCTGCTACTTGAGAAAAGAAGAGCTGACTTGTCTTAATTTCCCTCACAGTACTGGAAGGCACTTGCCATCCACGTTTACCAAAGAGAGTTGCTTAAGTGAATAATTGCACTTCAAAAAGTGTATCCTGTTTCCCAGAAAGATGAACTTTCCATCATGAGCTGAAAGGATATGGAGGGTTATGAGCATTTAGGAGGAATCTTCTTCACATTAGGAATCTTTTGCTGAGAAAAATGTCTAATTTCTCATTTTTGGGGCAGTTTGGCTGCCCTTTGTGTTTGGGATCTCTCCAAGAGTTAGAGATTGGAGAGAACTGCAGTCAGAGAATGTATAATTTATACAACTGTGGCTGACTGATGGTAAACTTCCCTTTTATGACTATTCAGTAATGTCATTTGTAGTGCCACGTTAGGGGCAGTCTTTGCCTGCCTTTGTGTTACAGACTTCCAAAGGAAAAGTGTACTTTAGTTGCCTGAATTTTCTGGATGTGCTCTCTCTTACCTAACTGTTACCATTTTTAGGCTGTCCTTCAGGGTTATACCTCTGCCACCTGCCTTTGTATAGGTTCATATGTAACTACTATT